GCATGGTGAAAGCCAAGAGAGGCCAAGAGCTAGGCTTTTTGCACTGAACAGTTGGCCAAGTGGTGAATGCAGAGGAAACGTTCTTGAAGAAAATTAAAAGTGCTACTCCAGTGAACACACAAATGATAAAAAAGTGAAACAGCCTTATTGCTTAGATGGAGAAAGTTTTAGTGGTCTAGATAGATCAAACCAGAGACAACATTTCCTTAAGGTAAAGCTAAAATAGAGCAAGCCCTAACTCTTCAGTTCTTTGAAGGCTGAGAGAGGTGAGGAAACTGCAGAAGAAAAGTTGGAAACTAGCAGAAAGAAGTTGTTTTTATAACATAAACTGCAAGCTGAAGCAGTAAGTTATCCAGAAGATCAAGCCAAGATAATTGATGAAGGTGGCTATGCTAAAAATAAATTTTCCATGTAAACAAAACAGCTTTATATCAGAGAAGATGCCATCTACGATTTTTATAACTATGGAGGAAAAGTCAGTGTCCAGCTTCAAAGCTTCAGAGGGCAGGCTGACTCTTGTTAGGGGCTAATGCACCTGGAAACTTTAAGCTGTAGCCAATGTTCATTTACCATTTTGAAAATCATCAGATCCTGAAGAATTATGCTAAATATGCCCTACCTGTTCGCTGTAAGTGGAACAACAAAGCCTGGATGGCAACATATGTATCTATTTACAGCATGGTTCACTGAATATTTTAAGCCCACTGTTGAGACCCATGGCTCAGGAAAAAAAATCATTTTGAAATATTACTGCTTATTGAAAATGCACCTAGTCAGCCAAGAGCTCTAATGGAGATGTACAAGGATGCTGTTTTTAAGCCTTCAAACATAATATCCATTCTGCAGCCTGTGAATGAAGAAGTCATTTCTACTTTCGTCTTATTATTTAAGAAATATATTTTGCAAGAATGCAGATGTCATAGATAGTGATTCCTCTAATGGACCTGTGCAAAGTAAATTAAAAATCATTAGAAGCAGTTGTCACTCATGAGAAGAGGTCAAAATATCAACATAAACAGGAGTTCGAACAAAGTTGATTTAAACACTCATGAATGACTTTGAGGGGCTCAAGACTTCAGTGAAGGAAGTAACTGCAGATGTGGTGGAAATAGACAGGGAACTAGAATTACAAATGTAGCCTGAAGATGTAAATGAATTACTGCAATCTGAAGATAAAACTTTAACAAATGGAAAGATGCTTCTCATGGATAAACAAAGAAACTGGTTTCTTGAGATAGAATCTGCCCCTTAGGATGATGTGAACAGTGTTGAAGTGACAACAAAGGACTTAGAATATTCTATAAACTTAGTTATAGAGCAGTAGTAGAGTTTGGGAAGATTGACTCAAATTTGGAAAATTCTACTGTAGGTGAAATACCATCAGGCAGCATCACAGTGTACACAGAAATATTCTGTGAAAAAAAAAAAAAGAATCAATCAATGCCAAAAGTTTTATTGTCTTATTTTAAGAAATTGTCCCAGCCACACCACCCTTCAGCAACCACAACTCTCATCATTCAGCAGCCAACAAGGGCCAGACCCTTCACCAGTTAAAATATTATGACTTGCTAAAGGTTTAGGTGATTACTAGCATTTTTTAGCAATAATGTATTTTTAAATTAAGGTATGCATGATGTTTTCTTAGACATAGTGTTATTGCACATTTAATAGACTTCAGTATAGTGTAAATAGAATTTAATATGCACTGGGAAACAAAAAAATGCATGACCTGCTTTATTGCAATATTTACTTTATTGCAATGGTCTGGAACTGAACCTCCAGTATCTCTGAGGTATACCTGTAATGTAAAAGTAGAGACGTAGCTGCAGCAATGAAGAGGTTGAAGGTGAGAATAGGTAAAAAGAAAGCTGAGAGCATTAAAGCCTTCATCTTATAAAAGAAGTAAGTTTAACTGAAAAAGAAAGGACGAAATAATTTATCCTTTAGTAAAATAAGTGACAAGTGAAAAACCAACAGTAATGTTTATACTTACATTAGAAAGTCAGAGAGAAACTAGTAGTATAAGTTGCTAAATCCTAACCTAGTATATTAGAAGATAATATAATATGTATTCATTTTATAAATAAAAGAAACAATGCTATAATTTTTTTATTCATTGCAATAGAAAAGAACAAAATAATAAAAAAGTGTTTGTCAGACTCTCCTCACATGCCAGCCGGACTGGGATTGGTGAAACTTTGCTTTTTATTCATAGGAAGCGCCCCCCTACACACACCCCCCCTATCACCACCACCTAGCGTTTAATGATCTAAAGGTATTACATAGCTCTTTGTAAATAAATGCTTCTAATATTTTTTTCTTCTGGATGAAAATCTGCCATTCTTCCAATGTCCTAGAAATTTTTTTAAATCTCCAGAATTTGGCACATATTGGCATATTTTTCATTAATTTTGCTTAATGCCCAGAGGGTTCTTCAAATATTCAGCAAATATTTTGTCCATTCACAAAAAGCATTTTTCTAGTATATATTTTGTTTTTGCCCCGTATTCTTACTTCTAGTCTCTTCTTACAAATAGCAATGAACTATATGCCTTTGTTTCTCTATTATCTGTTGCTATCCTTTCACTCACCAAGTTGGTTTTTTGCACTTTTCCCTTGTATTTGGAGAAAATATTAAGGTCTTCCTTTCTCCAATGCACTGTTCATATTGTTTTATTTTATCTGCCTCTTCCAATGCTTCATTTTAAGAACCTCCGGGTTTTTTTTTGTTCTTTCTTTATAGTTTTTCTTTGGTGCATTTCTCTTTTTTCATTTTTAATTTGTCTCTCAGTTTCCTTTTTGTCTTTTTTTGCTTTATTTAAAGTATTTTCCTTTATCTGTTATTTTGTATGGACGGCATGGGATTTCTTGAATTTTATTGACAGTACAATGTGGCATTTTCTAAATGTATTTCTGCTTCTTACAAAAACTTTTTAAAAACTTGTTTTGAAAACTTTTCCCATGCCATTATTTGTGCTGAATCTTACTGCCCTCAAACGTAGAATATTTTCATAAGCTATATTTGATTATTTTTAAATAATTTTCCTTTTTTTTTGGGCGGGGGGGACTGAGTCTTGCTCTGTTGTCAGACAGGAGTGCAGTGGTGCAATCTCAGCTCACTGCAACCTCTGCCTCCCTGGTTCAAGCAGTTCCCATGCCTCAGCCTCACAAGTAGCTGGGACTGCAGGCACATGAAACCACACCCAGCTATCTTTTTTTATATTTTTAGTAAAGATGGGGTTTCACCATGTTGGCCAGACTGGTGTCAAACTCCTGACCTCAGGCAATCTGCCCGCCTTGGCCTCCCAAAGTTCTGGGATTACAGGTATTAGCCACCACATCCGGCCTCATTACTTGTTCTTAAGGGGTGCTGAATCTTTCCAGGCCAGGTGTTAGTCCAAATTACTGAGGGTGTTTTTCCTGAGTTCTTCATACATCCATCTGAGTATTTTTGGATCTAGTTAGTTATTTTTGGAAAACTGATGTACACATACCTCCTGGACAAATTCCCGGTAGTTTTTAGTCTTTTATCGGGAGTAAGTCTGTGGACTTATGCAAACACACATCTGATGACCCTACCTGGGTGGAAACTCCTTGAGGATAATCTGAAATTAGTTCTATTCACTCTCTTGCCAAAAAGAGTGAATTTTAAAACTGAAGGAAAATGTGCTGATGTGCTGGCAAATGCTTAACAATAGGCTCCCCTGAGCGGTAAGAAAAGAAGCCCCGATATGTAGTATTTGCTAATTTCTATGGTATAAATGCTGCCACTGTGGTCTATTTCAAGCTACCAACTGACATCACTGCCCATGAAGGAAGAGGTGTGAGTAATTGGCTCTTTGAATCCAGGTCCAGACATAACACTGTAACAAAGTACTCCAGGCTCTTTTACGGCTAACCTCAAATCTCTGATATTGCATATTGTAATCCCCTGTCTGTTGTCTTTCTGGAAATGTCAGTCCCAGAACAAATTGCTGATTAAGGCTGTAGAGGTGAACCAGTCTTGGCTGCAGCAAAAAAAATAATCTTCTGAGATTGCTTTCTTGCATCTGGTTGGAAGAGAGCCTTTGAATTTGAAATAGAGATGCAGATGGTGGAACAGTAGAGATAGGAGGAGGGGAAACTCTCAATCTCTTCTTCCACAATGATCCTGAGGACCAGCCTTTCTCTTCATTTCCTTTGATAAAAGTTATATCTACCATATATAAATTATGCCAGCATTTTAGTTTCCATGGTGGTTGAGAAATTGCATTCATCTTTTTAATTTCCATATATGTGTCAGTGTTTAATATGGAGAAGTTAAATCAGACTTTTCTGATTTTCAGCCAGATCATTTTCTTATCTATAAATTTGCATGCCTTTTTGTTCTCATTGTTATGTGCTTCCATGAATACTTTAAAAAATATAGATTTATAAATAAATAAAAGTGCTGATTATTCCAGAATCTATATCTAATTCTTAGTGTTTTACTTAAGCTTCAGGCAAATGTTGTGACATGGATTTAATATGTTTATATTTATGAGTAATTTGAACATATATATTCATAAGTGGTTTTACCAAAGCTATTAATGGTGATATGCTGGTATATGAATCACCTCTAGGCAAAGTCTGTTTATATTTGGCACTTTTCTATCCTGCCTCTGCAGCTAATACAGAATTCTGTACCTGGTAGGTGTCATAACATTTAAATAAATTGATGTAGTAAGAGCCCAGATAGAAATAGAGGACTAAAAACAAAACTTCAGAGAATGTAAAGGAATAGAGGGAGAAATGGGTTTATCAAAATAGAAGAGAGTTCTGTTTAAAGTATTACTTTAAAACCAGTTTGCCACAGATTTCCATATTGCAAATGTTGCTTTGATGGGTTCTCCTTTTCTCCTTCCCTAGATCAATATCTGTACCTATGTATGCATATTCACATACTGATATGGTTTGCCTTTGTCCCCACCCAAATCTGAACTTGAATTGTATCTCCCAGAATTCCCATATGTTGTGGGAGATAATTGAATTATGAGGGCCGGTCTTTCCTGTGTTATTCTTATGATGGTGAATAAGTCTCACGAGATCTGATGAGTTTATCAGGGGTTTCTGCTTTTGCTTCTTCCTTATTTTCTCTTGCTGCCACCATGAAAGAAGTGCCTTTCACCTCCCACCATGATTTTGAGGCTTCCCCAGCCATGTGAAATTGTAAGTTCAGTTAAACCTCTTCTTCCCAGTCTTGGGTATGTCTTCAACAGCAGTGTTAAAATGAACTAATACACATATATACTATAATATTGATATTTCTACTTATGGAAACACACTGCCATATTTTATAGCTGTACAATTACTCAAAGGGAATAGGTTAAATACATTTTTCAGAGCCCAAAATAAAACTATTCACCCTGACGAATATAATTAGGCAAAAAATCAAACCTCCCTATTCAATCACTCCTTGGCATTTTCTACCAGACTCTGCAACTACTAAAACCTAGTCCCAGATAACTTTTTAAAAGCAATCTTTCATCATGCCAAATGGTGTCTCCAATTACTGGTCTACCAAAACAATACCTTTATAAATAAAATGGTTTTAGAAAAATGTTATGGATTTCTGAAGGTAACCTGGGATCATTTCAAGGTACTTGGTTTTGAGAAGTTGATAATGCAGTTTTCATGTTCCACCAGTTATATTTTTTCCATTAGTTAATTATGTAATTTAATAAATATATATTGAATGAGCATTATATGCCATGAAATTTGCTGGACAAATAGCAAAGCACATATCAAATTTGCTTCTTGCCATCATGAAGCCTACAGTTTTCAGTGTGGTACAATAATAATCTAGTATTTCCACATCGTATCACTCTATTTTATTTCATCATTTGTCTTAGCAGTATGTCAGATCACGAATGATATTTTCTAATTTATTTCTTATGTATTATCTCTCTCTTTCCAATAAATAATGTTCCATGGAAGCCTCTTTTTGTTATTTTTGTTACTACATTGTTTTCTGCATGCCCAATGTTTGGAACACAGTGGAAACTTCATAAATCTTTGTTGAATAAATGAACTTAAATAATACCTGGAAAAATTATAGATTTGTGTTAGTGCTTGAAGGAAGCAAATAGGCTGTTGTGATGGAAATGAATTTTATGTAAAAATAGTTGAGAAACCTCCTTGTGTTGTAATGGCATACAAGTCTTTAAACCTTAAGAAAATGAAAGTGGGGTCATGAGGTAGAGAAAGGAAGGAAGAAGGAAGATAGGGAACTAAGAAGAAAAGGAGAAAGAAAAAAATGAGGTGTTGAAGGTGACATTAGAGAGCTTAAAATTTTCCTCAGTGCTATGAGAAATCGCTGATGAACATTAAGCAGGGGTATTAAAGGACCCTGAGTGTTAGAAACAAATTGAGGCTTCTTGTACCTCCAGTATTACACTAAGCATTTATCTCATTTAATGTGGTAGGAATTTTGTTAAGTCCCCTAAAATTGAGATTTCCAATCCATTTAAGCAGGTTATACCAGGAGGCTGTGTGTGTGTGTGTGTGTGTGTGTGTGTGTGTGTGTGTGTGTTTTGTTGTTGTTGTTTTTCTTTTGTTGTTGTTGTTGTTGTTGTTTGTGTGTGTGTTCTTTCAAAGTTTTTATTTCACCTCTGATTTTGAAAGATTTTTTTTTTTTTTTTTTTTTTTTTTTGAGACAGAGTTTCGTTCTTGTTACCCAGGCTGGAGTGCAATGGCCTGATCTCGGCTCACCACAACTTCTGCCTCCTGGGTTCAGGCAATTCTCCTGCCTCAACCTCCTGAGTAGCTGGGATTACAGGCACGTGCCACCATGCCCAGCTAATGTTTTGTATTTTTAGTAGAGACGGGGTTTCACCGTGTTGACCAGGATGGTCTCGATCTCTTGACCTTGTGATCCGCCCGCCTCGGCCTCCCAAAGTGCTGGGATTACAGGCTTGAGCCACCGCGCCCGGCCTTGAAAGATATTTTTGGATATACTCACACTGTTTATTTATCTTGAAATGTATTGTCTGATAGTATTAGCCATTCTAGCCTTATGTTTTCTCTTTGCATGGAATACCACTTTCCTTTCGCTTTACTTTAGTCTGTATTTTACCTATATGTTTGGATCTGTATTTATTTATACATGACATTTGTACATATCCATGAGGTACATGTGAAATTTTGTTATATGCATAGAATGTGTAATGATCAAGTTGGGGTATTTATGGTATTCATCCCCTCGAGTATTAATCCTTTGTATTGGGAACATTTCAAATCTCCTCTTCCAGCTATTTTGAAATATAAAATACAGTGTTGTTAACTATGATCACACCACTCTATTGAATATTACCACATAATAGTAGTTGTAGAAGTACACAATACATTGTCGTTAATTATAGTCACACTACTCTATCAAATACTCTGCTATTGAATACTAAAATTTATTTGTTCTCTCTAAGTGCGTGTTTGTACCTGTTAACCACCCTCTCTTTACTCTTCTCCCTAGCATATCCTTCCCAGCCTCTGGTGTCTATCATTCTACTCTCTTCCTCCATGAGATCAATGATTTTTAGCTCCCACACTTGAGTGAGAACATGCAATGTCTATCTTTCTGTGCCTGGTTTACTTCATTTAATGTAATGACCTCCAGTTCCATCCATATTGCTACAAATGACAATTTTTTTTCCCAGTGACCAAATAGTATTCATGTGTGTGTTTGTGTATGTGGAGAGATATATATTTATAATATATATATAATATATATTATATATATATATATTATATAATGTATTATATATATAATGTATAATATATATATAATTTTCTGTAACCATTTATCCATTGATGAGCACATAGGTTGATTTCATATCTTTGCTAGTGTGACTAGTGTTGTGATAAACATCACTACAGAGGTGGGTATTTATCCAAAAGAAAGGAAATCAGTATATCAAAAGGATACCTGCACCCTAGTGTTTTTAGCTTGTTAAGAATTAACCAGGCCGGGCGCGGTGGCTCAAGCCTGTAATCCCAGCACTTTGAGAGGCCAAGGTGGGTGGATCACGAGGTCAAGAGATCAAGACCATCCTGGTCAACATGGTGAAACCCTGTCTCTACTAAAAATACAAAAAATTAGCTGGGCATGGTGGCATGTGCCTGTAATCCCAGCTACTCAGGAGGCTGAGGCAGGAGAATTGCCTGAACCCAGGAGGCGGAGGTTGTGGTGAGCCG